CCTCCTCTGTCCCATTTCGTACACCACAGCAAGTCTTCCCACAGGTCTCAGCAGCACTGAAGTGCACCAATGGAAAGGTTATGGCCTTCCCCCTCTACCTGGCCCCTCAAGTCATTTAATGATGATTTGCAAGTCATTCTTACCTTGGAATATTCAAAAGTAATCAGCAATCACCTTGTCTAGGTTGGCTTCCTACGGCCACAGGCAAAATTAGGATCAGCGCAGAGTTTCAGGTCACTCTTTATCACACATGTTGAGTTCAAGGGCAGGGGGACAGCCCAGAAAATTTGTAGTTCAGAGGATCTGGCGGTCCTTAATGACACACTGAACAACAAACACTGAAGTGACAGTACAGCTCTGGCACAAAATACCAGGCATGGTCATCATCTTCTAGGACTGATCAATAAAGGGATTACGTTTTGGGACAGACTAGTTCTTTTTATCTTACATTTCTAAGTTGTTTTGTAGTCTTTTTTTCTCAAGTTCCTATTTAGAGACATAAATAGTTTGCATAAGACCACTGGGACCTGTTCCAGAGTGCTCCTACAAAACCTGATTCTCCTCATTTGCTGACTCCAGCCCAAGTCTGCGGTGAGAGGAGCAGGAGCAAGAAATCTCAGGACAGCATTTTTTTGGTCCCTATTTTCAATCCCATTACGAACCTTTTAGTTCAAGTAGATTTGGACCACAGCAACAAAGAAGTTCCTGTATACCTTACTGGTTTTTGCATGATAACTGAAAACTAATTTCATCTGTAGAAGGGGAATTAAGCTCAAAGGGGGCACATCACAGCCCCATACAGAGTTTCCAAACTTACATGCTACAGCATGAGCTACTGAACCAGTTGTATTAAAATTGTAACCAGCTGCAAACAAACTTTTGGAGATGTTGCTCACGTATGCTTCACACCCATCATTTGCAAGTCAAGTAATGCCAATATTTATGTACTCCAAATACATAATTATGTTGCTACGGCACATAACATTGCCCCTGTAACTCAGGCTCAAGGTAACGAGATTTAATTCACTTAGAAGCAGAATTCTGGTTGACACTTTACACGCCTATCGTAACATACATGCTGCTGCAACTTTAAAGCTCATTATTACGCACGTGAGTATTCAACAATTTCAGTGAGACTCCTTGTGTTAAAAGCAGTTTTCAGAAGTGCTGTTATTCACCAAGTCAGTAATGTCCGCAACCTTTTATTACACACACGCTCAAGGTTTCAAGAACTGGACTTTCTGGTTGACACTTTACACGCCTATCGTAACATACATGCTGCTGCAACTTTAAAGCTCATTATTACGCACGTGAGTATTCAACAATTTCAGTGAGACTCCTTGTGTTAAAAGCAGTTTTCAGAAGTGCTGTTATTCACCAAGTCAGTAATGTCCGCAACCTTTTATTACACACACGCTCAAGGTTTCAAGAACTGGACTTTAGAGTACAACGGTCGGGTTTCAAAAGCACAAACATGGGCGAGTGTCCTGCTCTGAACACAAACCAGAAAAAATACTTCAGCTTTCTGTACCTACTGCAGTTTAACAATTCCACCTGCTGCTTCCTAAGAGCTGCTTACTTTTCAGCTCAATACGATGCAAAGTGCCATACCTCTAACATCACCACCTAGCAGAAAATCATTAACACTGTATCTGCTAGTTTCTGTAAGGAAAAAAAAGGTGATGAAGCAGCAAAAAAAGCTCCAGATACTTTTTTTTTAAGATCATTAAGTTTTGGTCAAGTTAATACTTTTAGTTCATTTTTTTTTCATTCTCAGAATGAAAATTCCCTGAAGATGCAACTGAGATTAAGAGCCTATATCTATAGTTTAGGAATATAATTATAGCATCTCTAATTACCATCAGAACAAGCTTTACAAGCTTTTTTAGTAACTCCAGGTAACAGCCGTATGATTAGACAACATTAAAGTTTAAAATCGGAATTGCAATTACAGCAATTTCTACTTCTAGGTCCACTGTACCATTACAGGGTCAAAAAGGCGGTTTAATTCTTACCTTTCCCACTTGAATTCAGTTTATTCCCAACTGAGAACTTTCTAGAGTTGAAACCATTTTCTCTCTCATAGTTTGATATTGCTATATGCTTTCTCCCCACATTATTTCATGATATACACATTCAAAACCAATTAAAACAGTTTTCATATAAACCCTCAGGTATTTAAATTATAAAAATTAAACAAGAATCACATAAAATGCTATTACAGAACAGTATCTGAGCATATAAATACTTAAACACTAAAAAAATTTCCATACCTACCAGAACACCCACAGCTATTTCATGCTGCAAAAAAGGTACAGTTAAATTCACATTTCTCAGTCTATTGCAGTGTGTCCACTGATAGGAAGCCGTTTTTTAAAAAAAATGTTATTTAATTAGCAGAAGCTGAAAAACTCATCTTCAAGAAATACTGATTCAGTTCTGAAGAGACCCTCCTCACGCACTGACAGCCTGACTCCAGCTCTGGGGGCAAGCAGCCAAAAGCTCTCCACTGTGTCCAGAGGCGGAGAGCAGCAAGAAGCAGCACTTGCTCTCAAATGAGCATTACAGCTGACAGTTCTTATTGGTCACACGGCCTCCCAAATGAAAACACTCCCTTGCATGTCTTGAGAAATAAACTAAACTTGTCCTCCTTCCTTCACCCACAAATGCACATTTTTTATGGAAAATGGTTATATAGCAACAAAGCTGGGGAGATCAATCTTCTGGTTCTGGAAGACCAAAAACAAACCCCACAAAACACCCAAAGGAAAAAAAAAAAACAAAAAACCCTTAGTTTCACTTCAAGTAATTTTTTATCATATAACACAAGTAATTACCTACTTTTATGAGAAATTCTAGAGTGTGATTTCGTTATTACAACTTTTTATGAAAAATAACAGAAAATAATTGGAAAAAAATCTTAGAACTGTTAGACTGCTGCACACATTCTGAACACGTAACAGGGAGTTTTTATTGTAACATGCAGCTGTCAGGTCTTGCAAAACTTCTGGAACTCAAAGGAAAAGCAGAAATAAAAAGTGCATTTCCCTCTCTAGTTCCCTCTCTTATTGCACCAGTCCTGGACAGCAATGGTGAGACAGCTACTCTCTTCACCAGAAAATGGGAAAAAGCCACATGGAAAGGACTTGAGCCTTGGAAATGCATGAGCTTCAACAAGGCCAAGTGACATGTCCTGCACTTGGGTCACAACAACCCCACGCAATGCTGCAGGCTTGAGGAGTAACTGGAGATCTGCCCAGGGGAGAAAGAGCTGGGGGTGCAAACTGACGGTAGGCTGAATACGAGCCAGCAGTGTGCTCAGGTGGCCAAGAAGGCCAACAGCATCCAGGTCTGCATCAAGAATAGCATGGCCAGCAGGACTAGAGAAGTGATTGTCCCACTGTTCTTGGCACTGGTGAGGCCACACCTCAAATCCTGTGTTCAGTTTTGGGGCCCTCACTACAAGAAGGACATTGAGATGCTGGAGCATGCCCAGAGAAGTGCAACAAAGCTGGTGAAGCTCCCCTCACAAGAGGGGAGACCTTATCACCCTCTACAGCTACCCGAAAGGAAGCTGTAGCAATGTGGAGGTCAGCCTCTTCTCCCTGGTAGCTAGTGATAGAACAAGGAAAAATGGCCTCAAGTTGCACCAGAGAAGGTTTAGGTTAGATGTTAGGAAGAGTTTTTTTACTGAAAGGGTTGTCAAGCACTGGAACAGGCTGCCCAGGGAGGTGGTTGAATTACCATCCCTGGAGACAAGTAAAAGATGAGCAGATGTCATGCTTAGGGACATGGTCGATTGACAGACTTAGCAAGGCTGGATCGGTGGTTAGACTTGCCCTTAAATGGTCTTTTCCAACTGAAACCATTCTGATTCTATGCAATGGGTATCCTGAACAAACAAGTAATAAAAACTTCATTCAACAGAGATTAGATGCATCCCACTATTGCAAACTTTCACCCAAAACCTAAACACGATTTTGCTCTATGTGCATTTTTAAAAGCCTCAAAATACTGAGTAATCATAGGATCACAGAATATTAAGAGTTGGAAGGGACCTCGAAAGCTCATCCTGTCCAATCCCCCTGCCAGAGCAGGATCACCCAGACCAGGTCACACAGGAACACGTCACAGAATCACAGAATCACAGAACGTTAGGGATTGGAAGGGACCTCAAAAGCTCATCCAGTCCAATCCCCCTGCCTGAGCAGGAACGCCTAGATGAGGTTGCACAGGAAGGCGTCCAGGCGGGTTTTGAATGTCTGCAGAGAAGGAGACTCCACAACCTCTCTGGGCAGCCTGGGCCATGCTCTGTCACCCTCACAGTAAAGAAGTTTTTCCTTATGTTCAGATTGAACCTCCTATGCTCCAGCTTGCTCCCATTGCCCCTTGTCCTGTCATTGGACATCTATAATAACAGGTAAGATAAACCACACTTAGCATCAACAAGATGAATAAGCTCCATTCACAGTATGAAAGGGCAAAGTCATACTGAGTACTACATAGCTCGGGTATGCAGGGGTGGGATTGAGGGTTACTTTTCCTTCTTTAACTAAAAGAAATACCTCACTTTTCCACATGGTACAAAGGCACTTGTCCTTATAAAGACTATACCAACATCAAATTTGAAGCTTTCAGAAACCTTCAGTCCTATATCACAGATATTTATTCGGAGAGTGAAGGAAGGAAGGAAAAAAATAACCACGCAGCATTTAATGGAGCTTTGTTTTAACAGTCATCTAGAAGTGAAAGCATCTAGGTTGTGTTACCACTGTGCAATCCCAGACTTGCAACTGAAAGGTGAAATTCCCAGTAACTGATACCAAAATTTTGCACTTGAAGGTTTTACTTTTCCAGATATAATCTTAAAAGCTAACAAATTATCTCAAGTGCAGATATACACTGGGACAGAAGCCCTGTTACATACGCGGTAGGAAACATCAATACTGAGGAGTTAATTAAAATAAGAACTTTGTCTTCGTCTCAGTATTATTACTTACCCGCTTTGGCCCACTAAAAATCTTCCTGGTGTTTTCCTTAGATTTATCACCTTGTTTATTTGTGGATTTCTTATTGCCTTCAGGCACACCAGATGCATCCTCTGAGAACTCCAGAAGATCTGTAAAAGGTAAATATAGACATGAAACAACCATATTGAAAGCTGTTGAACTGCTAGAGCATTTCTTGCATCTGACATCTCCCCATCTCCAACTACTGAAATTAAATAACCTTCATCAGAAAAATCAGCTTTAAAGACAAGCAGAGTTCTGGATGGAACTCAGGTTTATTTACTGGACTGTCATAATAAACAGACTATACATTACAAGGTACACTGTCACAGTGATTATAGCATGTCTTGCTCATTGTATAAGCTTCAAGTTCTTATTTCCCATTTTATACCCCTGTGAATGCCAGGTTACCTTTTATATGTGCTTACTTATGGTTTACTACTACAGCTCTGAGCAGCAGATGAATTACACAGTAGGGGTTCTTCAAAAGTGTGAGATTAAGAGATATACAAGAATACTTCCCACTCCTAGTACAGGATGGAAGAATTGATCCTACGTCACTTCTCATGAAGGCAGACTGTTTATGTTTGCCTATTCTGCTATAAGTAATATTAAAAAACCATGGTCATCAGCTCAGAAGAGTCAGCTAGAAGGAATCACCAGAAAGGCCTTTCAATATATTCAATACCTGCCTTACCAGTAGTTCTAGTACTCAGTTTTGAACAGTTAATCTGCAATTCACTGAGCTAATTAAACTCTTTTCCTATTTTATTCCTTTAAACTTGTGTTGAATTTGAAGCATTATCCCCTGGAGAACAGCTTATGTTCTTTTACTTGGCACAAACCAGAAGTTACCATAAATTTAAAGACGGAAAGAGAGAGAGGCACAAAGCAGCACTGTTTCATCTGATAAACAGTTTAGAAAACCGATCTATTCCAGAGAAGCTGCTGCTGTTTGAAGACTGCACTGCAAAAACACAAGGAAGTTGGATCGGTTACTCTAATCCCAAGTACACTCACATCCAGTAAACAGGACTGGCCAAATGCCTAGATAAGAAGGTAATCGAAAGCAAATCAGGCAAGCAATTTTCTAATGGTACTCCCACAAGGACACAAAACTCATCAGTCTTATTCCTCTGCTGGAACTTAGCGATAAAGGAGTCAAATCATATTGCTTTGGTACACATCCTTACAAACCCTGAAACACTTTTGAAGAAGCCAGCCAGGTCTACTACAGCAGACTACAGCAATTACAAACAAGCTACAGTAGGAACGCAAGATGTGCTTTCACTCACCAGATCAGCACAATAATTTGTGCCTCGTGCTAAGACTTGGAGTTGGTATTGCGGTTAATACAGGTTAATAGTGCTCCGTATCAACTAAGTCACAGTTTTAAAATCATCTAAGCATGTCTGTTTGAATTCTACTTCTATGTGATCCTGAACAATGACATTTAAATTACATAATGTTAAAATCAAAGAAATTTCTTGATAAAAATGTTTCAACTCTGTCCTGGTTTGAGCTAAATAGAACCAGTTTTCTATTTAGTGACTTCCCTTTTCAGCTC